CGACACTGAGGGTTGCGATCCGTTGCCAGACACAGAAAAAGACAAAAAGGAAAAAAAAAATTAGATTTTGGTCTGTATCACATTCTATAGAAATTTTTTTTTCCTTAAATAGGATTGAAGAATGTGCCGTTAAAAAGACGGGTCAAAGAGTAAACAACAAGAGGAGGAAGGGGAGGACTTCAAAGGTAAGACTCAAACCTTATCAAGTGTAGATTCATAAGCACCTTGTGGTCTGCAAATAGATAAAGAAGAGGTTAAAATTGAATATAGTTTATTTTCTTCTTCTCATTTGGGTTTTGCACTTTATATTTCTTACTAAAAATATATATACATTTTGAAGGATTAAAGTAACTGATAGTGAGTAAAATAATTGTTCATCCTTTCTCTTTTAAAAATGATGAAAGTGGTTACTTATCCACTGTATATAAAAGAGCTCATAATAAATATATACATACGTACATACATATATACGTAGTATTAAAAAGTTCATAGTATAGAGCCATGAGCTCTACCACTGTTCCAGAAAAATAAAATATCCCTGAAATGATCCACTTGTAGAAACGCATTTCAAGTTTTAAGGTCATGCTTATATAATTCCAGAATGCCTGATTTAAAAGTGAAAAAGCTCTTAGCAGGCTTTCATGCCTTCCTGCATCTAGTATGAGTCTGACTGAGACTTTTAAGTGAGTTGACCTTTTGGTTTGGTGTTTGATAAGTGGTCTAAATCATCTATGTGCCTACACCTTGTCTTCTGCAGCACTGGCCCTGTGGAAAAGTGGCTCTAATGGAAACTTCATTCTCATTATCTCAGAATTATGTTATGGGAGAGGAAAGCAGTATGAAAAATTGAATAATATTTCGAAGAGAATAAATAGGACGGGGCCTGTGCCTGGCCTCACAACTGACTCACACATATAGCCATGGGAAAACACTCATCCTTTCTGTGCCTCAATTTTCTGCCTCTCTTTTCTCAAGGAGACCGTGAAGACAAATAATATAATGTCTAGGACGTTCTCAGAGTTTCAGGAGGCATAAAGACTTATTTCTGTTTTCACAGCTATGAACATTTTAAAAGCAAAATAAAAAGTAACCACATACATTAGACTGAAATTCAAATTTCCAACAAGTTGATACTACAGTGTATTGGTGCACATGGCGATCAAAACAGCACATGCATGGGTTTATCTGCCTGATAAAGGAATGACTCAGAGGATTCTGGACATTTGTACTCCTCCGCCCCCTCTGTACCCACCAACCCCCACTGTAAATACATCTTTGTGAGGCTCATTTTGTTGCATTTATTGCTTCATGGATGCGTTTCCTTCGAATCCAAAAGTCTACTGAGGGCAGACCATGCCCCACTCGTCTAGGTAACCATTATCTCAGAGGTACCTGACACATACTTAGTGCTTTTAAATCTTTTTATAGATTTAAATCTTTTTATAGATTTCTCCCTTCCAACTCATGTAGAATTCTGTGCCAGGAAGTTTTGAAGTACTAGAAATTGAAGTGGTAAATAGGACAGAAAAAAATCCTGTCCTCCTGGAGCTTACAGTCTATCATATATATGGTCTATCAGACCATAGGCAAAGAAAATACACATAAGGTTATCAGGTAACAAGTGCTGTGAAGAGAAACAAATCTGGAGGAGGGAATAGAGAATGGTGAAGGGCTGCTATTTAGATATGCTGACCATAGAAAGCCCCTCCGAAGAATTTGGGAGGGGAGCTACAGTATAATGTTCTCTTTTCCCTGGTCTCTGGGAGGTGATAGGTGTGTTCTGTTGCTAAGAACTGAATATTCATTTAATGTCTAACTGCACATGCAATTGAGATAGTTGTTTATAGGCAGATTACAAAAAGAAGAAAACCATGGATGGATCTTCATTTATCAGCACACAGGACGTCTTTCAAGGAAAATGAAAACAACTCCTTCTTCATAGATGATCAAACAACCACACACGAATGTGGCTTGTGCCCCACCACAATGGCCACGCAGGCAGGGGGATACAACAGACCCCACTAGTGTGTTTACAAAATGAGTACTCACGTGGACTCACTTAAATATGACACTGAACAGAAATACGTCACTCCCTCCCTCTATTCATGTACCTCCTGAGATGTTCAAGCTTTCTCTAAAGAAAGGAGCCCTCTAAAATCTGTTGCCTAACAATAGTCATAGAGTTAACATTACTGTTTTTCCTGCTGTCACTACAGCTATTGAAATACAAGCATCAGAATTTGCGTGAAAACTTGCTCATTAAGTAAATGCTGAGCCAAGCTAAAAAAGCC